GTCCTTGTGTAGCATTGTTCTCCCAGTGGTACAGCGGTATGTCTGCGGACTTATAACGCAAGAAACCGGGTTTCGATACTCGTGGTGGGCAGAGCACAGATATTCCTTGTGTAGCATTGTTCTCCCAGTGGCACAGCGGTATGTCTGCGGACTTATAACGCAAGAAACCGGGTTTCAATACTCGTGGTGGGCAGAGCACAGAAAGTCCTTGTGTAGCATTGTTCTCCCAGTGGTACAGCGGTATGTCTGCGGACTTATAACACTAGAAACCGGGTTTCGATACTCGTGGTGGGCAGAGCACAGATAGCCCTTGTGTAGCTTTGTGCTTAATTACAAACAAAAAACCGTTAAGATAGGCATGTGTATTGATCAACAGCTAAAGTGTAAGTTGTTACCAGTAGATGGCGCTACCAGCTAAATTAAAAACAAAACACTCTATCTAGTTTATCACAAAATAAAAAAAGATGGTGATTTACAACACTTTGGAATTAGTGATTAGCGTGCCGAACTGCGAATCTAAGGATCCATGGTTCGCGTTCCATTGTTGCAAAATCGCACACTTCACTATTTGATTAGGGTATAGTCCAAGAGTTGGCGGGGGGTGATGTTGCCTAGCTGCCTTTCCTCCAGCCTGTCAGTTCAGAATTAGGAACTGCTGGCGTAGATAGCCGTCTTGTAGTTTTGCTCGGATACTTAAACAATTAAAACATAATACGTAGATAACGTGGTGTGTTAACGTAATAACTGGTACAGTATAGTTTTCTACTGTGCACCAACTCAACCGTAGGAGAAATGTATTAAATTTCTTTATAGTCAACGCAAGTTTTTTTTATTGTATCTGTCTGGTTGAAAGTAAAACAAAACATTGATGAATACTGGAACCATAATCACTTCAACGTCATTGTCGGTGGCCCGCATTTGTCGTCCCCTGCTGGGACAACGGTAAGTCTTCGGATATACGCTCCTAAAACCAGGAGTTTGATTCTCCTCGATGGACACAGCAGATAGCCTGATGTAGCTTTGCTTTAAGAAATACACACACACACACGACACTTGTCACAAATTGTTTGTTTCAGATGCTTGGTGTCCCTGATCTTCTCTTTGTGCACACGTGCCTTGAAATCCATAGGAGTCAAGTCCAGAAATCTTGGGATCCATTCCTAGCAACCACATCTGCCTATCCAATGTCCTGGGAAGAGGTCATTCAACCAAACTCGGACTTCCGAGCTGCAAATCACCTATTGTTCCAGACTTTTCGGACACTTTGTAGTTGTGTAAATTAAAATATTAAAACATGCTTGAACATTATTATCAGTAGTAAGTTTACAGATTTAGAACGTTAAAATTTGGGGATCTATCCCTGCCAGTGGGCAAAGTGCAGATAGTTTATATTGTAGCTCTCCCTAACTTTATGATTTGTTGAGTAACCTTTGATTCCTTTCATACTTCTGTTAAGTTCAGCTTGAACTCCAACATGAGACGGTCACCTTGATAGGTTTCTGATAATTATCTGGTGGCTGTCATTGTGTATGTGTTTTAATAACGTCTGTACTTACTAAGTTACAACTTTAAGAAAATGAAATATTATAAAACACATCAAGTCCATATCTAATTATCAAAATGTAACTGTTTCAGGTAACTTACACTTTTACAAGTGTTTTAGGACTTATTTTCTTAAGTTAGCAAGGAAGAGTGTTGTGAATAAGTCAGATTGTAAATGTGCACCATGGATCAATCCTGTATTGGAGAAGTTATGTTGATTATAATTCCGAATATCTGAAATGTATCTTCGTGAAATGTGGCAAGTTTTTAATCAACAGTACAGATCTGTTGTACGCAAAAAAAAATCAGATGTGTTACTAAAGTTTTTGTACTAAAGAAGTGCGTGTGAAATGTCTGACTCGGACTATGATAACTGCATGGTGATGTTCACGTGAAGACTGACTTTGGTATTCCAAACATATCTTAAGTCCAAATCTTTAGTAGCACATCAGAGATTTTTTTGTTGACTAAAAACTTGTCTCGTTTCATAAAGTCACATGCAATAAATTCAGAATTAAAGTTAACATTACTTACTCGATACTTACTCGTCCAATGGCCATTCAGTTAATGATTGGCTGCTGAAGTTGGGATAATTAATTGTATGGAATATAGATTAGTAGTAGGCATTGTGTTAAGCTTAGTAATTTGGTACGAATACTTTATCAGAATGTATTTGTTTTGCATGTTTTGTAAAATAAATTAACATTAAATATTACATATTGTTAAGTGTGATTTGACTTTTAATTTACTTGATCTTAAAGTACAACACTGATACAGTATGTAATTTATCTTTGTAGATTTTATTAGGTAGTTGAGTAAATGATGAATACACAATTTATTTTGATATGTTTGCAGTCCTGTTAAAGCTTCTCGAAGTGCTGAACTTCACACACAAGAGTAGAAAACTTCCTAAGTTCCCTACTACAAATAGCCTGCTTTGATTCATCTCAATTCTGTAAACAAGATTCCAAGAGTTATTCTTAGAAGCATTCATTTTAAAATTTAACTATATTGAACAGATATGCTAAAGCAGAGATGATCAAGGATCATTTATAAAACATTGTATCTTATGATACATAGCACAGATTTTTGTTTGGAATTTCTGCACAAACATGAAATATTATATTATCAATTATATCTGTCACCATCCCCCTGGACTTTAGTTTGGGGCACCTTACTCAGAATTTAAAACCTAAACTTGGAATAACTGCTAAAAAGGTCGGCACCACACTGGAGCTGAAGTCTTGACACATGGTTTCAAAAGAGTTCCCAATATCCTTCAAACCTGTAAAATCGACGCTGCTTATGAAAGCTGTTCAAACAAACAAAAAAGTACAAATTACAGTTTGTTAATTTTCATTTTGTTGTTTACTTGAAATAAAATCTTTCACTCAATTTTATTACGATCATCAGCAATCGTGGATTTTTATTATAACATAGGCACACGTGCTACTGTGTTCATTAGACATGTATACTAACCAGAAGTTACAACATAAAAAATTAATTAGTGATTTGAATCAATGTATTCAAGTGTTAGACATGTATACTAACCAGAAGTTACAACATAAAAAATTAATTAGTGATTTAAATCAATGTATTCAAGTGTTAGACTTGTATATTAACCAGAAGTTACAACATAAAAAATTAATTAGTGGTTTGAATCAAAGTATTCAAGTGTTAGACTTGTATACTAACCAGAAGTTACAACATAAAAAATTAATTAGTGGTTTGAATCAAAGTATTCAAGTGTTAGACATGTATACTAACCAGAAGTTACAACATAAAAAATTAACTAGTAGTTTGAATCAATGTATTCAAGTGTTAGACTTGTATATTAACCAGAAGTTACAACATAAAAAATTAATTAGTGATTTAAATCAATGTATTCAAGTGTTAGACATGTATACTAACCAGAAGTTACAACATAAAAAATTAACTGGTGGTTTGAATCAATGTATTCAAATGTGAATTTATTTTGTAATCTTCATAATATTGCTACTTTAGTACGTTTATCTGTTCGGACTTATACAAGCTATTATAGGATATTTATCAGACCTTGAATAACTTTCTTAGTGTTGGAGAAGTCTTCAGAGATTAGTGACCTTCCTAAAAAATAAAAAAACAATTTAACTACTGTTAACTCCCATCAACTGTTATTAAAACTGATGTTGTTTGGCATGTGGTTAATTCCCATCAACTGTTATTAAAACTGATGTTTGGCATGTGGTTAACTCCCATCAACTGTTATTAAAACAGATGTTGTTTGGCATGTGGTTAATTCCCATCAACTGTTATTAAAACTGATGTGGTTTGGCATGTGGTTAATTCCCATCAACTGTTATTAAAACTGATGTGGTTTGGCATGTGGTTAACTCCCATCAACTGTTATTAAAACTGATGTTGTTTGGCATGTGGTTAACTCCCATCAATTGTTATTAAAACTGATGTTGTTTGGCATGTGGTTAACTCCAATCAACTGTTATTAAAATATATGTTGTTTGGCATGTGGTTAACTCCAATCATCTGTTATTAAAACAGATGTTGTTTGGCATGTGGTTAACTCTCATCAACTGTTATTAAAACAGATGTTGTTTGGCATGTGGTTAACTCCAATCAACTGTTATTAAAACTGATGTTGTTTGGCATGTGGTTAACTCCCATCAACTGTTATTAAAACTGATGTGATTTGGCATGTGGTTAACTCCCATCAACTGTTAATAAAACTGATGTGGTTTGGCATGTGGTTAACTCCCATCAACTGTTATTAAAACTGATGTGGTTAACTCCAGTCAACTGTTATTAAAACTGATGTTGTTTGGCATGTGGTTAAATCCAATCAACTGTTATTAAAACTGATGTTGTTTGGCATGTGGTTAACTCCCATCAACTGTTATTAAAACAGATGTGGTTTGGCATGTGGTTTTGATTGCATATGTTTTGTAATGCTAGATGATAACTTGTGTGAAGAACTTAATACAAGGTACAGAACATTGTGTAGGATAAACTTACATGCTGTTTATTGGATAAGACAATTAAAACTTTAAGAGAAAAAAGTTTAGAAAACAATTTTATATTAACAAAAATCTCATGTCTTAACAATCCAGAAATGTATTCACTTTTGATTTTTGATCATAGTACTTTATTTTGTATTATTTTATTTAGACTGTCTCATCAAAAAGTCATGTTTGACAAATACAAGTAGCTGAACCTGTAATTTCTGTGTTTTAATCAACCCTTAACATTCTAGTTGTTACATTTGTTAGTGGATGGCACTGATTGTTGCCCATCTTTAACATGCTAGTTGTTACATTTGTTAGTGGATGGTACTGATTGTTGCCAACCTTTACATGCTAGTTGTTACATTTGTTTGTGGATGGTACTGATTGTTGCCAACCTTTAACATGCTAGTTGTTACATTTGTTAGTGGATGGTACTGATTGTTGCCAACCTTTAACATGCTAGTTGTTACATTTGTTTGTGGATGGTACTGATTGTTGCCCATCTTTAACATGCTAGTTGTTACATTTGTTTGTGGATGGTACTGATTGTTGCCAACCTTTAACATGCTAGTTGTTACATTTGTTAGTGGATGGTACTGATTGCTGCCCATCTTTAACATGCTAGTTGTTACATTTGTTTGTGGATGGTACTGATTGTTGCCAACCTTTAACATGCTAGTTGTTACATTTGTTAGTG